ACCCCCCCCCCCCCCACCCCCGGGGAAAAAATGAATGAAAGAAACCCTGGGTATAGGTTGAATAACTCTTTAACTTCAACTGAGTTGATTGATGACTGTGGGAATTTAGACCGGCACAGTATAACCACTTTTGACCCTAGTCATGGGCTGGAGGAGTTTGTGTTGATAGTGAGAATAAAAATGTTTTTATTTCCCCTGCTCACAAAGTAGAGTTTGTGGATCACCCCATATTATGTTAATGAGTATGATAGTGATGGAGGATTAATAATTGGTCTGCCGGTGGACGTCAGAATAGACAACAGCGTTGAAAGTATTGCCATCCAGCTAGTTGTAAGGGGGAAAGGTCTGGATGTATTTAAATTGTGGTTGAATTACGGGGACCACGAGGTTGTGAGGTTGTCCCAGGGTGTCCCACGGAAAGGGAACAGAGTGGAAGTCATTGGGAATGACCATAGGTGGACCTACGAAACGGACGGTCCAAGCGCCACAGGCAGCCATGATTTAATGTTGAATGACACGAGTTGCTCCAGAATTAAAGACCTGGTGAAATGTCTAAGGGAAATTTAGCAAGTGTTTGTGTTAATAATATGGATGTTGTCGATTTCGTTGATTACGAGAAGTTATTGTGATCCCTGAGGTGGAGGTAGGAGAGGACTTGTTTTCTGATGGTGATCCCTGAGGTGGAGGTAGGAGAGGACTTGTTTTCTGATGGTGATCCCTGAGGTGGAGGTAGGAGAGGACTTGTTTTCTGATGGTGATCCCTGAGGTGGAGGTAGGAGAGGACTTGTTTTCTGATGGTGATCCCTGAGGTGGAGGTAGGAGAGGACTTGTTTTCTGATGGTGATCCCTGAGGTGGAGGTAGGAGAGGACTTGTTTTCTGATGGTGATCCCTGAGGTGGAGGTAGGAGAGGACTTGTTTTCTGATGGTGATCCCTGAGGTGGAGGTAGGAGAGGACTTGTTTTCTGATGGTGATCCCTGAGGTGGAGGTAGGAGAGGACTTGTTTTCTGATGGTGATCCCTGAGGTGGAGGTAGGAGAGGACTTGTTTTCTGATGGTGATCCCTGAGGTGGAGGTAGGAGAGGACTTGTTTTCTGATGGTGCATTTGAATCTTGTAACGTGAGCCAGGGATGCTACAATTTTGAAAACTAAGAGTTTTCCACCGTTAAGCTAGACCAACTTTGTACTTGGTTAAAGACAATTCTAAATATTTAGTGTGTCTTGATTTTATAGAGAAGGTGAGCCTTAATTTCAAAAAGTTGTGAGGTGTGTGTTAAACATGAGTCTTGTGTGAACATGAGATAGGTCTATAATTGCTCTGAATTTCTTGATTTCTATGACAGTGATTTTGCATTATTTAAAAATTTAAGAGTTGACATGGTTGAATTGATTTTAAAACATGTATTAAAACACAAGTTCCATTTGTGTTGTGGCTACGGGTCAAAAGGTCAGTGGGGAAGGTGTCACAATAATCCACATGATAGTTTGTGTGAAATCTAGAAACAAATGAACTGACCCGCCATCTGTGCATTTTTCATGTAAGGGCAAATAAAGGCTGGTTATATTGTGGTGAGACATCTCCCACTGATAACTAGGTGTTGCGTTGGTGATACATAAGTTATTTTGACAAAAGCCTCAAGGAGAGCAATTTACATGCTCTGATGTGGATGAGAGAATGAATTTTTATTGTTGAATTAAAATTATGTTGCAATGACAAACAGGACAGTTAGTTAAATTAAGTAGATAGTACATATAATATTCTGAAGCTAGGCTGAATTTCATTGCTATTAGTGCTATGAATTATATGTATTTTGATGTGTACCTTTATGTCATCTGTATTATAAAATTGTGCAAGAATTGGTTGATCTGGAATGATTGAGGCAAGCCCTATGCTTTACACCACTAGTCTCATTACACTTGAATTTTCAGCGATGCTAAAAAATTTTGGGGACAGGTCATTTTGCTTTTCAACAGGTCTCGAATGAAATATTTATGTGACTTTGTTATGGTTGTTGATTTAACTTTTAACGCCTTTTTGGCTTGTGACGTTTGGTTATATATTTTTTTATTGTCGCCATAGTCTAGTCTCCCCTTGGTGTACTGGCACAGTCGTTTGGAAATCGGTGAGAGATGTGGATAAAGGCTGTAGGCCTACTATATTTCTTTAGTTCTAGCGAGATGCGTTCTAGAAATGTTCTCTTCGATTCATTGTACAGTCTGATAGATATGTTTCCAGATTAAAGTTTACATTGTTATCAGAAAAGAGACAGTTTGCATTTGGTGTGATTTTACATATGAACTGACATGAACATGTAAAACAAGTTGATGAATGAAACCATGACAATCATGAATATTTAATAAAAAAGAGTTGAAGTCCATTTCAGATATAAATATAATTTGAAAAAGAAAAATTAATTATACATCTTAAACTAATCAAGTTCATGTTGGCTAAATTTTAAACTAACACAATCTGATTACACTATTTTCAAAAAAGCGAGATTAACTTCTAAAGATACGGATTATTGAAAATGTTAATGACTGAAATCCCAAGCTTGAAGTACACAATTTGATTTGATTTCATTTTAAATTCCACTTATGGATAATAGAATAAACATTTTAAAATAACAGTACTCATAGAATTAAAGATTTTAAATTACTCAATGGAACTAAACTTTAAATAATCTTGGAGCAATTAAAGAAATACTTAAAATTTCTTAGAATGCAAAGTAAACAAAAAAATTAATCACATTGTCACATAGCCTACAACTCATTTATAATGATAATCACATAGCTTACAATTCATTTATAATGATAATCCCATTGTCACATAGCCTACAATTCATTTATAATGATAATCAATCCCATTGCCACATAGCCTACAACTCATTTATCATGATGGATCATTTTTAAATATGAGAGACTCATTTTATTCCCAAATTAATTTTGTATTCATCAATTTCATAAATTCTAAATTTAATACAAGCGTAGCAATGAGGACGGTTCATTCAATTTATTAATTTTGGTTTCGCAGTCTTTGCAGTTGCATGTAGGCATTCCTCCAGTGCCCATAATTACTCATCTTCAGATCTTTGTCCTCCAGCTTTTCTCACAAAGCTGCCAAATATGTCCTCATGGAATAGGTTCTCATCCTATTTGTGATGAGATGAGAAATGTAATGTAAAATTAATGGGAGATTTTGTTTAAAGGTTCATTTAAATAAGTGGTACAAAAATATTAACTCCTGAAACTAAATAAATCACATAACTAGCATTTAATTGACCATTGTCTTTCCTTTTCTAGCTTTGAATAGAGTCTGCGCAAGATAAAGTTTTATAAATTAATGTCCCTTTACCCTCAAACTCATGACTTGCTGGGAAGCTTCTCTTCCTCCTTGTTGACACAGAACAAGCTCCAGTGCTCTGGTCACGTCGTGTGCCATGGACACATCTCCTGACACATAGAAGTGGCCACCTTTCTTCATTACTATCTCATATACAGCAGCCGCATTTTTGATAATGATGTCTTGTACATACATCTATATAGCAAAAATGGAAAATCATCCAATTAAATTTATTTTAAAATACATTTATGAAGTTTGACAAAAAATATTTTTATTTCCAGGTTGGTTTAAACAAAATAATGTAAAAAAATAATTCTATATTAATAATAATAAGTTTATTAACTCCAACCACGGTACAAAGTCAACCATATTAAAAAGAGAAATGAAAATAATTTTATTTCCAAAGGTATACAATGTTGGTAAATAAAATAAAAATGATGCTGGGGTTATAGCATAAAATATAATACATGAAGATGTTAAAGATTAATTGATCTATAAAAAAAACTATGCGCAATCAATGAAACAATTTCTATCAAGAGCCATAATGTCAAAATTAAATGATAACTTAAAATCATTTGCTAAGTATTTTGTACAGACTTATGAATAATTATGATACCTTAGGCAAAGCTGCTTCCCGTGACAGGGCCACATGATAGTTGGAAAGAACTCCCAATCGTTTCATCTCTTCAAGTTCCGCTGCATAAATCATGTGTTTAGCTGTTCTGCAGCCAGTATAAAGTACCATCTCTCCAAAATGTTTTTTGGTTTCTATAAAAGCAATAAAGAAAAGAACAGTTTATTTGGTAATATTCTTTGTATTAAGTCATACTGTTAAAATGTTGCTCTTTAACATTGACAAAATTTAACATGTCCATTTGAAATAAATTGTTTAAATATCATGAAATTTGTCAGAATTGTAAAGATTCTATAAAAAAAACAATGTGGAGGCTAAATTTATTGTGAAAAATAGAATAATGTGCAACTTTAAATCTCTTAATTTAACTTTTTTAAAAATTGAATATCACCAGAAGATGGAAAAGAATATTGAGTATAGACAATTTTTAAACTTACGAGAAGGCAAAGTGATCTGACAAGGCTGCATGGTGCGCTCCCAGGAAGGTATGGTGTTCTCACAAGACGGCATGGTGTTCTCACAGGAAGGTATGGTGTTCTCACAGGAAGGTATGGTGTTCTCACAAGACGGCATGGTGTTCTCACAAGACGGCATGGTGTTCTCACAGGAAGGCATGCTGTTCTCACAGGAAGGTATGGTGGTCTCACAGGAAAGCATGGTGTTCTCACAGGAAGGCATGGTGTTCTCAATTTCTCCCAATCTTTGCTGCCAAAATGATCTGAACGGTGCAATTCCTGACCCCGGTCCTATCATTATAATAGGCAGGGAGGGATCTTCTGGCAGGTGAAAGTGGGGTGCCCTAAGGACCAGAAACAATAGGTTACATATCAGTTTGGTGCCCTTAGGACCAGAAACAATAGGTTACATATCAGTCTGGTGCCCTTAGGACCAGAAACAATAGGTTACATATCAGTCTGGTGCCCTTAGGACCAGAAACAATAGGTTACATATCAGTCTGGTGCCCTTAGGACCAGAAACAATAGGTTACATATCAGTCTGGTGCCCTTAGGACCAGAAACAATAGGTTACATATCAGTCTGGTGCCCTTAGGACCAGAAACAATAGGTTACATATCAGTCTGGTGCCCTTAGGACCAGAAACAATAGGTTACATATCAGTCTGGTGCCCTTAGGACCAGAAACAATAGGTTACATATCAGTCTGGTGCCCTTAGGACCAGAAACAATAGGTTACATATCAGTCTGGTGCCCTTAGGACCAGAAACAATAGGTTACATAGTTTTGTGCCCTTAGGACCAGAAACAAAATGTTACATAGTTTTGTGCCCTTAGGACCAGAAACAATAGGTTACATAGTTTTGTGCCCTTAGGACCAGAAACAATAGGTTACATATCAAAAACAAATAGGTCTTACTGAATATACCTGTACAAGGAAGATTATTATTGATTCAAAAAAAATAATAAGTTATCCAAATGACATTTTAGTGGAGTCTACATTTTTACTTTTCGTTTCATCTATTAAATGTTTCTGTAATTTTAATAAAATATAATGTTCGTTTAATTCAAATTACTTACGATCTCAAAAAACAAGGCACTACAGTTCCTATGGGGCTTCTGTTCAGCCATGACGAGCACACTCCTTCATGGACAGGCCCATCACCATCTACGAAAATGATTAAATATCAAAATATGTTGAAACATTATAACAGATTTACACATTTTAATGGTCATAACAAATTTTTGATTAGAAAGAACATTTTATCAGATTTGTTTTACCTTGAGTTTTAAACCTGACCACAGCAATGGTGGCATGAACCTCATTGGGGTTTTTCTGTTGGGATGAACTGATGCTGTAGTAGCGAGGTTGCAGCAACGGCAGCTGGGTCAGCAGAAGTGAGGGTGGAATTTTGAGGGACGGGAACTCATCCAAAATTTCTAGGATATTGGGGCTCAGGTCCAGTCGCCATTTTTCATAAGCCTCTGAATTCTAAAGAAGAAATTAAAGAGGTAAAAAACCACATATCTATCCATTTAACATTGTTTTGAAAATTTGGAATGCAACAAGAAAAGGTTTTAAGTATTTTACATGTCAAGCTGTATAGAGTACTAATAAGATGACATTTTAATAAATTACAATTTTAACTACCCCCACCCCATTCCAAATTTTTTTACCACCCACCCACCTATAATATTTTTTTAAAAAAGGAAAATGAATTTTTATTGAACCTCACCGAAGCTAATTGTTCAAGTTTATGTTTATCCATGTCACTTGAGGCTTGAGTGGCCAACACCTGCAGTATCTCTTGTGAGGGAGGCGTGGTTACATCCAACAAAAATGAGAAAGCTGTACGCGAAGTACAGATTGGCAAGTGACTTCTCCAAGTGTCATTGGTTCCTTTAGTAAAGTTAAAAAAAAAAATTATTTTAAGTTTACATTTTTTTTTTAAAATTAGGATGATTAAAAAAAAGTTATAAGAATATTATGGGAAGCTGAATGTGCTATGACATGAATGAGGGAGTAGCTATATTTTGTGTTTTACCACATTGAAGGGACTTGTTCCTTCAAGTTTCAAGGAATGTTTCTATTTCTACAAAAATATTAATTTTCAATAATAAAATGATGCCAAGAAGGGAGTACAAGGAAGGATGTGTGCAGATTAGCTACAAAGTTGACAAAATGCATTCACCAAGCTGTGTGGAAATCTCTGTTTTCACAACTTGATCTGGAGATGGTCCTTTACTTGTGTCCAACCTAACAAGAATCGCATCCACAATTTCTGGAGAGTTGGCAGGGAAAATAGCCACATGATCTCCAGGGGCATACTTTAGGTCAGTGGCATTGTGTGCGTCCAGCTTTATTAAAATGGTCTGCTGACTGAAATACATTTATAAAATATATATCTATTCAGAACTTTAAGCTATGATAGAGCTGTACTGGTACCTATTATTGGATATACCGATAGCTTTGATAGGGTTCTACCTAATAGCTTGGACAGGGTTCTACATAGTATTGGCTATACAGATAGCTTGGACAGGGTTCTACATAGTATAGATTTGAAATGGTTCTACCTAATATTGGCTATACAGATTGATTTGATAGGGTTCTACCTAATATTGGCTATACAGATAGATTTGAAATGGTTCTACCTAATATTGGCTATACAGATTGATTTGATAGGGTTCTACCTAATATTGGCTATACAGATAGATTTGAAATGGTTCTACCTAATATTGGCTATACAGATAGATTTGAAATGGTTCTACCTAATATTGGCTATACAGATAGATTTGAAATGGTTCTACCTAATATTGGCTATACAGATTGATTTGATAGGGTTCTACCTAATATTGGCTATCCCAATAGCTTTGATAGGGTTCTACCTAATATTGGCTATCCCAATAGCTTTGATAGGGGTATACCTAATATTGGCTATCCCAATAGCTTTGATAGGGTTCTACCTAATATTCTCTATACAAATAGATTTGATATGGTTCTACCTAATATTGGCTATACAGATAGATTTGATGGTTCTACCTAATATTGGCTATACAGATAAAATAAAATGATTCATTGATGAATTCAATCTGTCAATTTTTAAATGTTAAAAATAGATAATTTCTTTACTCAGAATCTTTGGCCTGAAGCTGTATTCTTTCAGCCAAAATTAAGGGCATTACTTCCTTCCCATGAATGTTGCGCAAGACTGAAATTAAAATGAAACGAGCATCAAATTTTTTTTTTTAAATTGACATTTTGTAATCCTTAATTTAATTGATGTCACAGAGTTATTGAAACTTAAATGTTAAAAATGATTTAACAATAACTATTTGATTTACTAAGCAATAATTGTTTGTGCATTTCTCAGAATTTTTGAAAGGACAAATGAAATTAATTTCCTCACACCATTTGGAATATATCTTAAATAAGCCAAGATAAATGAATACCTTGACATAAATCTGGTTCTTTGCAATTTTCTACGGGCACAATCCTGACTTTGCTACAGTCACCCTTGGTTTGGGGTCCTGGAGCATCATTTCTATTATCTAGGCAGAAAGCTTCACATGAAGCCTGTGGCCAAAAAAGAATATGTTGAAGCAAAATCTTTAAAGGTTATATAAAAAGACTTGTACATTTCCAAAAGGTTTAGTTAAATTGTATTGTACAAATGAAATATGCACACATTTGACATTAAATAAGTACAAGATATGATATTAAATATGTATAAACTATTTGACATAATTATGTAAAGGTTTTGTACAAATGAAATATGTACATTGTATTTGAAATATTAAATATTACAAGGTATTTTACATATAAAATATGGACAAGGCATTGTGAAAATGAGATATGTGGGAGCCATTTGACATTAATTATTTACATGGTATTTGATATTAAATATTATTTTCTTGGTACTTGACATTAAAATTAATTTGAAAACTATAAACATGAAAATATTGTAAAGACTTTATTACCTAATTCTTGTATCTCTTATATCAATTAGACAAAACAAATAAGCTTACTTTGAATACTTCCTCTGACCAGGCCCTGAAACTTTGTTCTTGGCCATATAAGGCATCCCCTGCGCAATAATTAACCAATCTTTCTGCTCCAAGTTCTTGCAACATGAGATATATATACTTGCCATATGCAGCATAGTAAGGGTAAGCTTTGGAGCCAAGGCCAAATACTGCAAACCTGTTTAATCATTGGATTAAAAACAAATTATCCCAAATAAATATGTTTGGGTTTTTATGTTTTTTTTTACCATTTCACATCTGGCAAATGTTTACTGTTGAAATGCCTTTTATTTTTTTCTGTTTCACACCCAAACTTTTTAACATTAAACTTTTAAAATCAGGTTGGTTGAAATAACACAACAAATTAGTTTGAATCCGTTTAAACCTAACAATGTTATTTAACATCTTACAATTTTATGAATAATTTAAATGAATGACCTGACATTACAAAGTGGTCCTGTTCCCATTGCTAAGGACTGTCTGTCCCCTATTACATCAGCAGCCAACGGACCTTCAGTCAAAATGCTACTCTTAATGCATGTTGAGATGGAAGAACATGATTCCAAAAATCTGTAAAGCAACAAAAAATATTTTGTATTCAATTTTTTATTTTAATTTATGTATTTTTTTGTCCATGACCCTTCCTATAACATTCTTATGTTTTATTTGTTGACAACAGTAAATGAAAAAGTTTTGATTAATAAGTAAAACATTGATGTAATTAGTGGGCTATAAAATCCCCATGTTAAGTTTTACTCACCCGAGGTCACAGTCGTATTTCCTTTTCATATCCAACAAACTTTGGGCAAATTGCTAAAAGACACAAATTTGAGGAGATAATGAGGCGATGTCTGATAGTGAAACATTTTTATAATATTTTAAAAGATAAAAAGTGTATTTTAAAAAAAAACATTTCAAACATATATGAAAAAAAAATGTATATATTAGAAGGTACCTATAGCCACTTCGATATTAGAATATAAATGTTTACTTGAAATGAAATTTTAAAATATTTTTTTATCATTCATGTGAAAAAATAGACAATGTTTTAAATTTTATAAAAACAATTTTTTCAAAGAGGAGTCATAAAGGATTAGATAAATGATACATTATAACGCACAAGGGAATATTGTTTATATTTACTTTTCCATTTTCTGGCGGCTCCCCATTACCGAAGGTACTAGTGATTACCATGACCAAGGACTCATGCTCCAATGTCTCCACAGCATAATCATCCATGCATACCACCTGGTTAAATAATCAAGTGTTGAATTGTGTAACACTCTTAAAATTCGGCTGATGGCGTCCGCAACTTTAGGAGATTTATTCCTTACATTTAGTCATAAAATTTCTTAATCTTCGATGCATAATTTAACCTCTCATAAATCATAATTCTGATTTCATTACTTATTAAATTTTACAATCCTTTGACTCCAAAACAACAAGAATAATTGATTGTTACTGCTAGAATGGGTATAGGTGATAAAAATGTAAATAACTCTTTAGGAGTGGGTGAAAAAAAAACTGTTACAGAAAGCATGTCAAGTATGCTTAACACGTCTCCAAAGAGTTTGGTCCAGTTTAGCACCTGATAACTGTTGACATCTTCATCTTTATAACAATCTCATTTTAACCTAGAAATATGTCACTGTCATTGCCCCCAAATTGTCAATAATTATTCCAATGTTAGACATTCTATTTATCAGCATTTGCTGAGTGGACACAAAGAACTAGTTGGGACTTGAGAATAAATTTGGTTATTTATTTTATATAGAAAATTGTTTATCTTGTAAAAAAAAAATTTGTTAATTTCATATTCCAACTGTAAATACATCGGAGGAAATAGAATGCAACTAAAGCTTCATATTCACATGAATTTTTAGCAATATATTATATTAGCAGATTTTAATCTAGTAAAACATTTGAATTACCCGTGAGTGAAAGACTGGTTTGAAAATCTCAGACAATCTGCGTGCAAAGCGTTCAGATCTGCCAGTCTCTGTGGCATAAAAGATGGAACACTTGACACGGCTTGACAAAGCCTTTGACATCAAGGATGCCGAGAACTCCACAGCTCTGCAATACAGCAATATCGGTAGTAGTTAAAATGTTCATTCTAATTAATCTAATTGTTCTGTGAAATTTGAAAAATCCTTGCATACATTGGCTTCTAAATGTTTCTCTAATATTTGTTTCCTTACAGACTTGAATTTATATTTTTGTTTGTACAAGGTGTTTATCTAAATAACTTAATATTTTTTTATTGGGGAACAAGCACATTTTGACAGCTTGTAAAAAAATTAAAATTTTAAAAAGTTTTAAATTCCTTTCAATAGACCACTTTTTTCCAATACCTGGCTAATGCTTTAAAACCTAATTTCCTCTTAGGGTTGCATGAATTGATAGGTACACTCTGATCGCTTTTCCACACATGCTTCTTCCATGGCTTTACGTCCTTTTTACATGAAAATTAAAAAATAAAAAATCGGTTATGTTCGTCATAGAAAATATTCCAAACAGGCAAACTATTAAGGGAAAAAGTTTTACATTTAGCTGCTAATGTTTTATTATATTTGGTCTATTGAAACAAGACTGACAGTCTACACAGGCTGACAGTCTACACAGGCTGACAGTCTACACAGGCTGACAGTCTACACAGGCTGACAGTCTACACAGGCTGACAGTCTACACAGGCTGACAGTCTACACAGGCTGACAGTCTACACAGGCAGACAGTCTACACAGGCAGACAGTCTACACAGGCAGACAGTCTACACAGGCAGACAGTCTACACAGGCAGACAGTCTACACAGGCAGACAGTCTACACAGACAGACAGTCTACACAGACAGACAGTCTACACAGACAGACAGTCTACACAGACAGACAGTCTACACAGACAGACAGTCTACACAGGCTGACAGTCTACACAGGCTGACAGTCTACACAGGCTGACAGTCTACACAGGCTGACAGTCTACACAGGCTGACAGTCTACACAGACTGACAGTCTACACAGACTGACAGTCAACACAGACTGATAGTCAACACAGACTGATAGTCAACACAGACAGATAGTCTACACAGACAGATAGTCTACACAGACAGATAGTCTACACAGACAGATAGTCTACATTGACTAATAGTAATCACAGAATGATAGTATTCACAGACTGATTTTCGTTAAAAAATAATTTACTGTACACATGGAAAAAAAATTTCAAGCATAGAAAACTGAAAATGTCTTAAAATTTATTACTAAGAATATCTTATGCATGAAAATTGTAACATTAAATGCTAGTTTAAAATCTAAAGCATTACAAACCTGGCGTACGAAGGCTGGGTGTAAATTATAAAGCAACATTTCTTGATGAAAAACTTCAAGAGTCGACCCACTCATCGGTGGCACCATGCGCACCCAATCACTAGGACAGCCTCCTCTTAATTTTATCTCCTTATCCATGTGAGATATAAAATCAGTGCTGGCGTCATGGTGATTGACGATGGTAACATTGGCCGACTAATAAACATTTTAAAAATTCAAAATGTGAGCTCAATATTAAAGCCAGAAAGATATGAGCATATAATTTTCACATAATTTTTCAATGACACTTATATTAAATTGTCTTGTTTATCATTGAATTTTTTATTTAAATAAATGTAAACATTACTTGACATTTTAAAATCAAAGTATGAACATAATTGACAATCGTGAGTACTTAAGTAAAACAATGTCAAATGTTAAGATAAGATTCTTTCATTGATCCAAACAAATGGAAATGTTTTATGATTGCATTGTGCATTTTCAGCACATATAAAAATTTGAACAAGAAATTTGTAATATTTTTTCACCAGCAGCCAGTCAGTAGCCATATCAGGGACTACTTCATTTACATTAAGATTTGTGACTTCAGGGTGAGCACGCTGGTAAATTCGTACAGATTGGGGAACAAAAGAATTTTTATATCTTTCAGTCGTCGCCCTGACGGAAAGAATTCGTCCCAAACGGCCTATATTAAGTATCTGTGATGAAGAGGGTGAGATATATCATCCAAAATGTGTCTAATTTTACAGTAACATCTTTCTTCCAATAGTTCTTCCAGTAAAGGATGTTTAGTTTGTTTTATGTTCCTAACTTTCTTCATTAGTTGGTTTATGCTGTATTTAATAAATGTTAAGTAAAACAATGTTAACAGTTCAGTAAAAAAAATCTTTAAAAAGTAATATAGTAGCCTACTACCTCAAAACTGTAAAGTACAGCCACATTTACTTCAATCAAAACACGGTCCTTCCACAGGGATGCAGCAGTTTCGGTGTTGAGCCCTATTTTTAAGCCAATTGGCTAAGTTTTAAAAAATAGATATTCTATAGGCCTACTTTCTAGGTGACGAAAAGAAATTAAGTTTATTTGTGATGCGATTGCAGAAGTAGATTAAAGTTAATAATTTATTAAATTATATGTTCCTGCCTCTAGACCAGTTGTTCTCAAACTTTTGTCCACTGCCGCCAAGGCCATAAGACATCCCTACTTCTCGGCCCCTCCCCCCACATAATTATAAAATGAAAAAAAATAAATTTAAACATTTTACTCATAAAATTTTATCTTAACCCCCTCCCGACGATACCACATCCACAAATTTTTTGTAGTATAATTACTAACAATTGGGGAGGGTCCAAAAAAATTCACTCGCTTTAAGGCCACTATGTGTATTCCTCTATGACTGATCTATTCACAAATTTCGAAACAATTATAGTCATAAACCAAGAATTTTGTTAACATTTCATAAGGGGGATCCCTGTAATTTGGTTGCTATTTATCTACAATTTTTTAATAAATATTTTATAAACAGGTGTGACAATGTGTAACTAACTTTCCAATGTTTTTAATGCATCTGATGGTAAATAAAGTGATTCCTAAACAAACTTACACAGAAGCACACTTACACAAGGCCCAGGTTTGAATATAACAACGCACTATAATGATGGAAACGTGTTTCATTTAACGCACTATAATGAGGGAAACGTGTTTCATTGGATGTGTCTCTATTGTGATTTTCAAAAAACTTCAATTCGAAATTTAATATTCATCAGAACAAGTCACTGATCTTTAACGTAATTGGGGACATAAAAATAGTACTTGGTTCAACAGACAGGCCTGACTTGATATTTTAGGGGCCTAACTGGAGGCTTTAGGGGCCTGACTGGAGGCTTTAAGTGGGGGCCTGACTGGAGGCTTTATGTGGGGGCCTGACTGGAGGCTTTATGTGGGGGCCTGACTGGAGGCTTTATGTGGGGGTCTATCTGGTGGCTTTATGTGGGGACCTATCTGGTGGCTTTATGTGGGGACCTATCTGGGGGCTTTATGTGGGGGCCTATCTGGTGGCTTTATGTGGGGGCCTGACTGGAGAATTTGGAAAACTTACAAGTTATAACCTTTTTCTTTTTATGGTGGCACCTGGATTGTACAGGTCTTTAGGATAATTGCAGCATTTCATCAGCTTACCTCCAGCATGTTGTAGCGGTGAGGATCACAAAGGTTCCTGGAACCAATCATTGTCCCCATAAACCAGCCATTAAAAGGACATGAAGGGAACTCCAGGCCTCCACAATCCAAGAGCATTCCTGAATCTGTGGGGAGGGCATACCACTTCAGCCCCATTTCAGCAAACCAGGGATACCTGGATGGTAGACAGTGTAAACAAAATCTAAGAAATAGTCCTGTTACCAATCATTTGACTCTTATCTTCAAATAATATTTCAAACTTGCTTTTCTTATTAAAATATGAAATCTTGAAATAAAATAATTCTCAAATATTAGGGAAAACAGGTTGTTTTAATGTATGTAGTCACTTGTCAAACTCTCATGTAAGGAATGGGAAAAACTACATTTAAACCTACTTGAAAGAAGCAAAAGATGTTGTAGACGACTGACTGGTCAATGCATCACGAATCAAGATTTGAATAAGACTTACTCGGGATGCCTTAAGGTCACCTCTAGCACCAGCTCAGTGGGGAGTTCGAAATATTCAGGGCTATTTTCAGCAGCAGACAGAACCAGTGGAAGAAGGTCAAACATGCCGTGCTTTGGTTTCCAGCCCATTTCAACACACAACTACATTATTTTTAGAGAGAGAATTTAGTTTTTTTAAAGGATACAAATAATGTTTCTTATATAGTGTTTCTTTTACGTCCGTTTTGATCACACACACACACAATTTTTTTTTAAAAAAGATTCCGATCCTTAATCAGTGTGCTCAAAATCAGACGTGTTACAAATGTATGTCTGACAATACCAATGTATGTCTTGTTACAATACCAATGTATATCTTGTTACAATACCAATGTATGTCTTGTTACAATACCAATGTATATCTTGTTACAATACCAATGTATATCTTGTTACAATACCAATGTATGTCTTGTTACAACATTAACTAAGTAACAACAACTTGCCCAAATTTTACCTCTGTAAATTCAACATTGGCTGGGTCACCAATGACCTTCCCGTCACCCAACTTATAGCCAGCATAGCTTATCAATTGTGTATTCCATACACGGAAATCTGGTCGCCCTTCCTTGCGTTGTGGAAATATAGTTATTGTTGACCTTGACAGAGACAACAGCATTCAAATGAAAGTTGTGACAGAGTGAAGTTTCAAATTGAATAGGTTAAGCAGTTTATTGAACAGAACGGAGCTGGAATAATCCTAGTGCCATTAATTATTTGGGACATTTTATAATCCTTTATCATAACTTTGCTTTTGTTCGTATGTTTATTTCTTGGTGTGTGGCAAAATCTTTGGCCAGCTAATTGACCCACTTCTCATCAAACTATCTCACTGAAGCTTGGCACAGACTCGTTGCCAATAACTTTCTTTCAAATTTTCAACCGCTCCCCCCCCCCCCCCCCCCCCCCCCCCCCCCCAGTTGCCAATAACTTTCTTTCAAATTTTCAACCGCCCCCCCCCCCCGCCCCCCCCCCCGAAATCATCTTTAACGCTATCAGATGCCACTAACTATAAAATTCCTGATAAATGCTCTAAATAAGATTCTTCAAAATATCACAAGTGCGATTGGTGCATAATGTTATTTTGTTTCATGGACATGGTTGGTGTAAAAAATCTGCGGTGTAAAAAATCTGCAGTGTAAAACCGGGTGGGACATGAGAATATTAATATAGTTCAGGGAACTAGGGAAAAAAGCGATTGCTAGTGGGGCGGAAGGGGCACTAATTGGGATTCTAATAAATAGAGTTACTTCGATGCTGTGTCAAATTTTCAAGCAATCTAGCCACACTTTCAAACAATCTAGCCACACTTTCAAACAATCTAGCCACACTTTCAAACAATCTAGCCACACTTTCAAACAATCTAGCCACACTTTCAAACAATCTAGCCACACTTTCAAACCATAAAATATTTTTTTAGTTACTAATTCCCAATGTGATCATTGTAGTAGTTACGGTACACAATTCCTACGGTCACATACCTTATTTTTCCCTCGTTTGTCGCATATCTGATGTGACTGCAAAGAGCTTCAAACATTTCTCTGGGTGTCCCTATCTCCCTGGCATCAAACACCTATGGAGAGAAACAATTCAGCTTTGATGGACATTTATGTTTATATTAACAGTCTCATAGATGTCAGGCAAATTTTACTTCAACTCTCTGAGAAAAAGAACAATTCCCACATGAATCCATGAAGAATTAATCTTGCGGTATCCCAAGATACTGCTATCCTGAACAAATTTTTAAAATGTAAAATATTTTACGAGAAATCCTCCAATCCAGGGAAGTAACTTTTTAGGATATATATATATATATATATATATATATATTTATTTGTTTTGTATACATTGCATCAAACCAGTATGTCACAATTTGTCACTCTAGGCATGGAGGTAGCTACACACATAATTCAACAATCAAAACTAATTGTTTACACATTAACATCTAGGTTTTTAATAAAGCTACTTTTAACAACCTTTCAACAAACTTTTTCTCATTCATTAAAAGACGGTCAATTTATCCATTTTTCCCAGGGTAAATGAAACCCCAGGAAATGAGAATCCCTGTTTTCAAATATCCGAAACAATTCCCTCCCTTTGTATGCTTACCTGTAAGTCATGCAATGAGCTGTGGTTTTTTTGCCTTCAGGGTAACAGTACCCCCCTCCTAGTCTGGTACGCCACGTAGAGGCAAATCCCATGTGGTCACCTCCGGGAGAGTCGACTGCGAACGATTTAAACGCAGCATTTTCGCTTGACATGACATCCCCCAGGCCAGGGGAGAGGTTACCGGCTTGTCACCCAAAAACCTGGCGGTGGGGAGCCCCGGCGTCAGCCCGTGTGTGGGTGTTCCGGGAGGGGGGGCAATATGAGCTCACACTCAACGGCCCACCAACGCCATTTCCCAATGTAACATATTAGTATGCTTACCTGAAGTTTTGACCACTGACTTCTGCCAATGCATCCAGGGGCATTCCTCCAAGCCTGTTTCGCCCCAAAGGTCAGTTCAGCCATTGTCAGGTCGTAGGTTCCGGATTTTTCAATCAAGTCGTTTATCTCACCAAGTCTATGGAAATGTGCCCGTGTTTTGTTCCTGTGGAAAAAATAAACAAAGCTTGAATTTTATAAACAGACTCCATTGATAAATTCAATTGTTTTAAAGGAATACTATTCCAATCAATAAGAGCTCAACTACTTAAATTAAATTGGTTCATTGAAATTCTAGAAAATTAATGTGAGACTGTTGATGAATATGATTGTCAATTTAGCTTACAATGATGTAGGGTAATTAAAAATATAATTACATAGTAACAAAGGTAAGCTAGTGATTTTTTAGGAAAGGTGGTATAATATAATGAAGTTACTAATAAAGGGAAATTTAGTAGACCATTATGTGGAACTAAGTACTATTTATATATGGGGGATATTAATTTAGCGAAGTTAGTGTAGAATACCCTTAAAAGCTGAAATAAAACTCGTGTGAAAATTAACCTTAACCACAACCATTTACAAGACCATTCATAATGGGATTCACAGGACTCATACTCGCAGACCTATGACCTTGCTATCTTCGACATCAGACTAACGAACACGAGATTTTAGAATATCCTGTTCTTATTAAAAAAGAACCATCTAAATAACATTCATTTATAATTTTTAGATTGTACGTTTATTATGGAGAACATTAAACTTTTTGCTTTACAAACACTTTTTTGTTTGGTCTCTATAGACCCTGAGGGTGCGACATTTATTATTAATGAACACTATTATAGCATTTAAAGTACTATATTATTTCAAGTAAACTGTCATAGTATTTCAAGTACACTGTTATAACATTTAAGTACACTGTTATAGCCTTAAAGTACACTGTTATAGCCTTAAAGTACACTGTTATAGCCTTAAAGTACACTGTTATAGCCTTAAAGTACACTGTTATAGCCTTAAAGTACAATGTTATAGCCTTAAAGTACACTGTTATAGCCTTAAAGTACACTGTTATAGCCTTAAAGTACACTGTTATAGCCTTAAAGTACAATTATAGCATTAAAGTACACTGTTATAGCATTAAAGTACACTGTTATAGCCTTAAAGTACACTGTTATAGCCTTAAAGTACACTGTTATAGCCTTAAAGTACACTGTTATAGCCTTAAAGTACACTTATAGCATTAAAGTACACTGTTATAGCCTTAAAGTACACTGTTATAGCCTTAAAGTACACTGTTATAGCCTTAAAGTACACTGTAATAGCCTTAAAGTACACTGTTATTGCCTTAAAGTACACTGTTATAGCATTAAAGTACACTGTCATATCATTAAAGTACACTGTTATAGCATTAAAGTACACTGTTATAGCATTAAAGTACACTGTTATAGCCTTAAAGTACACTGTTATAGCCTTTAAAGTACACTTATAGCATTAAAGTACACTTATAGCATTAAAGTACACTGTTATAGCATTTAAAGTACACTTATAGTATTTAAATTACACTAGTATAGCATTTAAAGTACACTGTATAACATTTAAAGTACACTAGTATAGCATTTAAACTACACTAGTATAGCTTTTAAAGTATACCGTTTATCTATAGTTTTATATTAAAGCTACAAGCAAGTCGATAACGTTATGATTTATTCAATGTTTGAAAATAATTTTATTCATATACTCACATTTGAAATGAGGTGAAATATTGGTTAATGAAATCTTTGGCATGGATTAGAAGTTCCTCCTTTGATCTAGGGGCATCAGGGGGCCCATGGGCCTGTTGTGACAATGAGCCCATGCATCGCTCAGTGTTGCATGGAACTTGCTGAAAAGTATTTTTTTATTTGGGTAAGGAGAAATGCATGTTCTTTGAAATATTACAAAACAAGGCATTCTGCACAAAGCGTTTAGGTGGTAACCTATGAGAACAAACAGATTAGCAATGGTCCATCAATTAAAGAACACTTCTCAACACTTTTGCTCAATGTTTTACCCTTTTCTTTTATCTTCATTTGTATTAGACAGGATATAAATATATTATGAATAGTTTAATAAATTATTTTTTATTTGGTTGTATTGATGCAGGCTTTATTTTGTTACATAATTAAAGTTAAAATGTGTTTTTTCTTATATTTAAACCTTAAAACATTTTTATTATTGTTTAATTTACACCAGCTGTGTCTCAATGTAGGTATCCCAAAATTCGCCCACACACTGCTCTGCACATGTCCTGAATTGTTGCAAAAGTAGTTTGAATAATAAAATATACCTTTGTTTTTTTGTGTGCATTCGCCTTTATAAATAATTTTAAACACCTTTCCCATTTGACACTTTTCAGGATTTCATCAAGTTTCCCTCAAATATTATCATGCAAAATAATCTCCAAGCTATTTAAATCCTGTGTTTTTTATTGTGTCGTATATTGCATTGAGAATGTCTCCTGAAAATTAAGTACAATTTCCTTAGATAAAAGTTATGGGTAAAATAGTGCAAAAGTTTGAAAAGTGGGTCAACTACATCGTTTATAATATAAGGTGTATACAAAATTCGACCCAAAAATCTTAACTCCAGTTCTATAAAAGATAAGATGAAATTGATGTTTTCATAAAGCTTAAGCATCAGTTCATACTATCAAATTTTTGATTGCGTATTTGATGTGATTTTTGTATGAAACATTGTCACAACTTTCAAATTACTGTTGAATTGAATTGTTAAAAAAGAAGCCAATCAGAAAATATGATGTGAAATTTGAAGCTAATTTTATCATGTGAACTGACGCTAAAGCTAGCCCTTTAAAATGAGTATCATTTATGGCATTTAGACAATATTAAAAATTTCTGTCAAAGTACATACTCAATGTACTTAAAAGCTTGATTGAAGTCAAATAATGAAACGAGATCCCAACTAATCCCAATGATGTGTATGCAACACCTTTGTGACCATTATTCAATTCCGATTGAAGTGTTCGGTAAATGACAGGAAGCAATATTTAAATTCTGAAACCAAATATGATATGGATGGACGATTCTAAGTAAATGAATTGAATATATAAAATTAAAAACATTAAAATTGAATTTTCACCCATTTTTAGGATTAAACAAAATATTTTACACGATTTTCTAATAATATTAAATAATTTAAATTTATTTAAATCTTTAAAAAAAATGTTTTTGAAACTAAAGCTATTGAAGCCCAGAAATTTCAAAAATTAATATTTTCGCAGATTCGTCACCAGCACCAACTCTTAATAGCCCACGATTTTTAAACAGCACAAGGTCTTTTATATGCTGTCTGTGATTTCACGTTTATCTGCTACCTTTACCTTTGAGATGATCAACTTGAAGTTATTCTTACACAGAATTATTTGCAGACTAAAGGCTTTACTCTTGACAAAGTGGTGACCAACCTAGAGGCCTTAAGATTGTTTCTGCACGAGAAGCGCTTTCACTTTGTGGAAAATCCTATTACAATCCACTTTTAAAATCCCACCCATATGGAATTTTGGTAGAGAGAACACAAAGGTTTAAGAAGAGAATGAAAGGAGAACAATTAATAGATGCTAGACTCTCTCTGCGAGAAGAAATGGAAGGGGGATGTGGGTGAGCATTGCTTGCTTTCATTCTGAACTCCAGATCAAATCATCAGTGATCAAGGAAGCAGCAGATATGTCTGGGGCTGTTTTCAGGAGTCTACTATCAGCAAGTGAAGAAGACTTAATGGTGTCCATTCCAAAATTAACCTTTCTTTGATGAGTTATTAGAGGATGAACTTTCAAAAAAAATACCTAGGCTTAGAAGACACTAAAGGCAAATTCAAAGGATTGTTCAATATTTAAATTCATAGCTGAATGGGATTTACTAGAACCTCTTCAATACTCTCGCTAAGCCTTAAATTGTTTCTTACGATCTGTGTGGCTGGGGCTTCATGTGAGCGAAGCTTTTGAAAACCAAATCTTAACAAAAACTATTTACTATTACTATCCTCCATAGAACAATCACGGCTTTCTGATCTGGCTCTATCAATTAAAAGTGATACAGTGAAGGATATTGCATTTAATCAAGTGGTTGACAGATTTTCAACTTTCAAGACCAGGAAAGGAACATTTTTAATAAAGTAAATTTAATGTAAAATAACTAACGGGTATAACTTAACGTTTACTTCTATATTTTGAGGACCCATGGTCAAAATCAATGCATTGATCAGTCTGGCACCTATCAATTTTTAAATACAGTTCTTAAATACATTTACCTCATTGCCTATAAATCATTTGCTTTTTGTTCTTTTCTTGTCATTGTTTTCCTGTGGCTGCGGACCTATCATAATCTTAACAATAACAAATCCATCTTGGAAGTCGGGGGAAGGGGGTGACCAGGGTTTCTTTCAGCTATATTCCGGGGGGGGGGGG